GCTATTCCACCTACCACGATGCTGTGCCGTGTCAGGCTCCTATAGGATGAGCTGCCTGGTCAGTCTAGCTACTCGGGGTCCTCCTCTTATGAAAAACAGATCTAATACCCATTACGGCGTCGATGATTGGAGGGGTAGAATAGGTAAAAGACTTTATTCTGGCGCTGCTCTGCTTAGGAGGGGCATTTTGCAACTACTTAGTTCCTTTCGCCAGTTCATGTTGATTAATGTCGTGTCCCATGTCGGCGAGACTTGAAATGGTACAGGTAAACCGCTCTGCTTACAAGAGTTTACAGGCCATTACGCTAATCTGTACAGGCATCAATGAGTATCATTTGGTGCCCCCTCCCCCCACTAAGAAAAATTATTGAAAATGAAATAATGGGCTATGTTGTAACATCTTGTAAATGAGAGCCCAACTGCGGCCGTAACTCCCTTTTGATGTGCCGATTTATCTGGTTGACGCTTTTCGTTGTCGCCTTCTTCAAACTTCTTTGACCCTCAGTGATGGCGATGCTCACTCCCCCCTCCCCACTCACTCTTCTAGGAACTTTCTAATGCGACTCTTAGTTAGTAGTTCTCTAAAGTCCACTCAACTTTACAGCGAACTATAGCGTGGCGCTTAGTGCAATCAGTCGCGTGCGCAATTAGATATTCAACTTCACCCTCAATTCCAGGAACTTTCGTGACATTACTTACCTTAGCAGACCGGGGGTCAAATTCCGGAACCGAAGGAAAGGTCAACGAAGCCTTCCACCCTTTGGTGCCAGATCCCTCTAAAAGATGAAAGGATCCTGGTCGGTTTGGGAGGCGTTTGGCACTTTCGCTTCAGTTAGTTGTTCTTGTTCCTGTTAGATTACACGTCTTACCTTGGTGGAACCTGTAAACTCTTGTCAAGTGCAAACGAAGCTCCTGCTAGGGCATAGCTTCACAGGAGTTCACAGGTATCCGCTTGAGGCATCGGTAATGAATGCTGAGAATCAGCAACATGCCCCCCCCCCCTTCCCTTCTAAGAAAATGCTGAACTGCGCCGGTGAATGCAATGAGTTGAACATTTGTTCGCCCGCAAAGCACATTGAATATTCTATATGGCGTTCAGTGAGCCACGTTTGACTCTGAATGGGAGTAGGATGCGTGTCGCATCCCAAAAGGGATTGATCACAGCGAAGACTTTGTTCCTTGAGCTTGATTTACTCT